AACTCATTGCCTGGCAGCTTACAGAAAACGTGTCTAAATATTTGTTTGTGTGGACCTTTAAAGGAGTGAGCTAACAAGCAGCTCTCTGTATGTTTTCTTTTACAATTTAATGTTGCTATGATGTGAGAAATGTTGAAATCTTTTAGAGTATTAAATCAAGGAATTACTACTTCAGTGATCCCTTTTTTTTTTTCTTGGGCCCTTGATGGTTGACAACTATCAACACCAAAGCCAACTGTCAATTATCAATTGTTCCTATATTTAGAATTATTTATTCATTCATACAAAGGATTATTTGGTTAATCCTGTATCAATTATGAAAAGTTGGCATCTGTATTTTGAGACTCTAAGAAATAATTGCTGTAATTATTCCTTTATATTTTTACAATATTTATAGTGTTGTAAAGGAACTAGTGAATCATATGAGTTATTTTGTATTTTAAATCTGATACACTGTGCTGTACTTTTCTGAAGGTTTTTATATTTGCTTTCATGCTTCTTTCATGTGTTTGCATGTATGTGTTGTACTATATATATATATATATATACATATATATATATATATATACACATGTAATTTTGTATGAAAGTGTTAAAACTTTCCCTGCCATTTTTTCTTCATGCCAAAGAACACTTGACAAATGTGTTAATTAGATTTGATTGCAATCCTTTAGGTGTCCTGAAGTTAGAAAAACAGCATATTGTTAAAACCTATAGCAGTATGGAGCCAGAAACTGGTTATAGGAGGAATAAACCTGGGGAGGTACAAGCATGCAGCAAGGCTTCATTACCTGTAGGTAGAACATGTGCTTAAGTGCTGTTTTGTGACAGATGTCTGTTGAATGTGATAGGATTTGACTGTGTGCTGAAAGTTAAGTTTTTACCTGTTTCACTGATGGGTCTAAGCTTTGTGTGCTCAGTATTAGTCCTATACTCAGGCTGAAGTTTGGCTTTACGTTAGGAGCTTTTACAAAATCCTTCTGCTTGACCAAACTAAGTTGTGTGTTTATGTAGCTACTGCAGTGCTTTAAAAAAAGATAGCTGTGACTACAGCTATATTTTTCAAAGGTGATGATGAGGTGTTAATAGTAAATGAAATGATTTTACAGGATACTTAATTTTGCCAGCATGTAAATAAATCTTCCTTTAATACGTTGCAGCCGAGTTGGCCGTCTTTGCTGCCCTCTAGTGTTCTTTTAACATGCCAAACCATAGGTAGAGAGATTTTTAAAGTAACTGCTGCTGTATTTGCTTCTCTTGTTTAGTTTTTTATCAGTCTTCATCCCTCCTGATGTTTAAAAGGAAACAGAAAAATCATTTAATCTTTATCACCTCAGCTCATTCACTTCTGTACTGATGTAGACTCTGGTATGGTCTGCAGGGCCTACTTCTCTGAGAAAACTTCTTGTGTGATGAGATCTTTTATTTTACAAGTATGTAATGAAGTCTTGGTGTGGTCTCTGCTGAAGTCTTTGAATTTTCTGTCCTGATAATCAAACGTCTGTGATTGCGTTTTTATGCTCTAAGGGTTGATTTTGTTGATAACATAATTCTGGTAAATAAGGACATCTGGAGGGTTAGTCTTATAGGGTTGCAGGTTATTGCTGGTACTTTACTTGTACTTTACGTTATGATGTTATTCAGAGTTTCTGTAGTCTGTCGTTATTTCTGTAGCATTTAAAGAGATTTTAGAGTTCTTGCTTGTGCCTCACCTTCTGTCACTGTACAGTGGTGTAACTGATACCTCTTCCAAATACCAGTTTGGTTGCTTGTTACTTGTACACAGGACAGCAGCAGACAGTTGAACTCCAGAGTTAGTTGTTTTTATTGTTTGATTCTTGTATCTCTTTTCATAAACAATATGAGAACAGGACACTTCAGCTTTAATACGTCTCTTTTTTTTCCTGCTTAAAATTGAGATTGTGTTTGTTTTTATTTAATCAATGTGTTTACCTTTTTTAACAACAGATCACAAATTCTACGCCAATATTTATGTAGTGTAAAGCATGAATCAGAATTTGTATGAAGCAATCACTTTCAACTCTCATGTAAATGTGCACATCCATAACTTGGATACCCACTGCATGTTTTTATTAAGTTACCTTCTCAGAACCAGTGTAGTGTGTAATCTACTGCCATGTTAGCTGAATCTCATATTTATGAGAAATACTGGAGTGACAGTTCTGGAAGCAATCTGTGTTAGCTCCAGAATTAAATATTCTGGGCTGTGCACAGGCCACGAGAAGTTTGACATTGTTCTGTCTCAATACATCATTCCTGATATAAGGAAAACACCATTCATCAAAATTGTTGTGTGCTTCCCTTTTTATGGCAACTGTTCCTCTAGTACTAAGGTGAGCTTTTGTGATCCTTACTCTCCTAGGGGCTAAAAGATAACTCTTCTCTTTGCTGAGAGACAGTGCTAAGACAAAGGCTTTTGGCACTCAGCCTGGAAAATGAAATGCTATTCTTTGGGCCAAGTCCAGGTAGTTGATTTGACTGAAGAGATAAAAGATACTTTTTCAATTAAGCAGAAGTTATCAAAATGGTAATTTAGGACTCCATTTCATACTTGTTGATATTGTTAGCCATCACCTTTTCCCATTAGTTGTACAATTAAAGTTTTGAGCTCCAGGAAAGTGTTTGTTTAATTTCTTATTTCAGCTTAGGTAAGTTTAAGGCCATATGCACTGCAAGTGCATAGTAATATGGATATTAATATTAGTAAGCCTGGTCTGTATATCAGATGTAACTGTGCCTTAAACTCAGAGATTTTTATGTAAGAGATGCCACATTTGTAGTGATTAATAGGTGAAACACCAGTATGTTGTGAGTCAGCTTTATGTTGTATTGCAGTACGGAAAGAAACACTTGTAGGTTAACTGTTCTGGCATTTTTAAAATGTGATGCAAAACTACTTTTTTTTCTGAGTACCCTATTTAGAAGTGGGAAAATGCAATTCATAGAAAATACTGGGGTTAGCAGTAACATTTGGTGGTAGATAGTAAAGAAAATTGAAGCTGCCACCAGGAGGAGCAGTACCAAAATATTCTCATTTTTTCACTGCCACAGTTGCCTAGTGCTGTAGCTCTAAGCTGTCTGTATCTTTGGGAATATCACAGTTTTTTTAAGGGTAGGGTACTAAATAGAATGCAACTAAAAAAACCCCCAAAACCCTGAAAGAATGCAAATGAACTCCTCAAGTATTTTTGTAAATTATAATCTGGAAAATAATTATTCTTTTGATATTTGGAACTTCTATTTAGATCTGTTTAGTCTGTATCTTGGCTTCATTTTGGTATGCTGTTGGCCAGACTATCAAAATTAAATCTGGTATTGTATCTCTTACTTGAGATGCAATAGAATAATTTTCAGGAGCTGGTATTACTGCACTCAATTTTCTATATCTCCCTAGAGCAGCCCTTAGTGAACAGGCACTCAGGGCCTGCAGCTGGTGTGTCTGTGCGAGAGGCAAATTGTCTGCCATGCCAGGGAGTGAGTTCAGTGAGAAACACAAAGTGCCAGACCTTGCAGGGGTTTGAGTCAGGGCTTTACTTTTTCTGGCATCCTGCCTCTGTTCTCCCCAGCTCCTGCACTTAAAAGTCACTTTGTAGTTTAACATTTAAAATCTGTAAAGCAATGCAAAGATTTAGGAACAAAGGGGAAATTTCTTAGTGGCTGAAGGCTTGTTTTAATGTTACATATTTGCCTGAATGTATTTAGAAGTCTTGTAGATGTGGCATTTAGGGTGATGATTTAGTGGTGGACTTGGCAGTGCCAGATTAACAGATTGATGATTTTAGGGGTCTTTTCCAAACTAAAGCATTCTGTGATTCTATGTAGCAACACCATGTTATTTGTAAGGGGTAAATAAAAAAAAAAAAAAAAATCAAGGGTTATGTAATAGTCTTCCAAGCTATGTAACTAAAATATTTTGCTTATCAGGAATAAAATTCATTTATCAAGGAACTCTAATGAAATTTTGACACAATAGAGGAAATGGATGCATATATGGCTATAGAACTCGTGAAAGTAGCATTTGTATTTAAAATACAACAATTTGACATAGAGTAACTTCATTGTGATGATTATTTTTGCTTACATTTAATCAACAAATGAGAATTTTTTTTTTTTACCTTGAGTAATAGATTTTGTTCAAATAGAAAATGTGTGTAGTCACAGTCCATCACATTACTTCTGAAATGCTGTGATGTCTATATATTCTAAATCAGATTTTGGAAACCAGTGGGATTTCCCATTAGTGTTTTCAAATATTGATATTCCATGTGAATTCCATATTTCATTAACTGGATTGCCATTAGGGCTCTGTTTCAAAATTCCTGGCCCATTACTGTTAACAATTCAAAATGTTACTGTCTATCTCCTTGATCATCTCCCCCACACTTAGGTAAGTATGTGTTCAAGGGCTATTTTTCTGTGTGGTATTAACAAGTTATTTACTCACATTTGTAACAAAGATTTTAAAATGGAACTAAAGACTTGAAGTAAGTCAAGTTGATTTTTTGTTTCTGAGGAGGACTTTAAAAATTCTGTTTGTTCAATAGCTAAATTGAACATGAGCCTATCATCTGGGCTCTGTATGGAATGTCAGATGCTGGGCATGATCTTAAGGTTGGTCAGCACCCTTTGTGACAGTCCCTTGCAAAACCGCAAAATCTCTTTCTGTAAATTGTGTTAGTGATTTTTGGAACCCAGAGAGATAAAGTGGGTCATGAAAATCACAAAGATAACTCAAACCTGAATGCTAATGCAAAGTGAATGTGTGGGTTATACTTACCCTGCTATGCATCTGTGAGAGAGACGAGTTTTTGTTTTTCTTTATATGAAAGATTTTTTTATTTTGTGATTTCTTTTAAAGTTTAAGCCTGGAGACCAGCAGTACAACTAGGTCACAAAAAGATAAAATACTAATCAATAAGTGATTGCATCTTACCTTTGTTTTAATGATCTGCTGTGTCCTGGCAAATGTTTCCCCATAGGATGAAGATGAGCTGGACTCTCACACCATGGTGAAGACCAATTCAGAGAGCGCTGGTACCATGAGAGCCACCAGCACAATGAGTGAGGGCGCTCAGACAATGATTGAGCACAACAGCACCATGTTGGAATCAGACTTGGGGACCATGGTAATCAACAGTGATGATGATGAAGAGGAAGATGGGACCGTGAAACGTATGTTGTTAATTTGCTTTTTTCTAATAATGTGTTTTCTCATGCTGCATGACAGTGTTGTATCATGAAAGGCTTTAAAGTGTGAAGTTCTGTGGTTAAAACAGGGGAAGAGGGGTTTTTGTGTCTCTAAGCAGTCTGTAATTTGTAGAGAAAAAGTTGACTGTAGTGGGAGATTCAAAGCAGAAGCCTGGTTTTGGTGCTTTGCTAAGTTTCTCTAGAGGACTCTCAAATTGTCCTTCTGTGAATTGCACTGCTTGTCTCTGTCTCCTGTCCCACGTACACCTGGACCAGTTTGTTGGAGCTAAACTGGTGTGATTATGTGAGAGGCTGCTGTTTCAATGTCAGTGGTCCTGGGAATGTATCATGACTCTCTTTGGGGTCAGCAATCAGTAATATATTTTGCTGCAAAATCGTTTTGTAACTCATGATCACTTAGCAGATCTGCATTTTTTAAGCAAATAATTATTTGGACATTTTTTGGAAGGTAATTCAACAATGATTGATTTAAGGCAATGATCAAAAGATTATTGAAACTAACTAAAAAGTTCTAATTGATTTTGGCAGCATGTGAGGGAGTACATAACCAGGAGATAAAGAATTGTGAATGTTTTATGTATAAAAATATAACTTATACTGAAATATCTATAAATGCACATTTTAAAAATAGTTAATTTACATACTTACTAGCTGATATGCTCATTGTTTGGCTGAAGACTACTGCAGATTGAGGTCCATGAATTTTAATAGAATTATTTGCATGATTAGGCAGCATCAATAGATGACTCTAACTCAGGCTGTATCTGCCTGATTCCATGAGGCACAATGCAATGTTTAACTCCAGGCAGTTGCAGGGAGGGGAGGCTGTGGGAAGTTGTTGTGTGTGTAATACAGAGAGCTAATATCTCAAGAGTGGAATTCAGTGCCAAATAAATGACTAGTGTTTCATAGCAAATACAAAGCTGCATTTGTGTTTGCATGTAGATACCTGATGTAATTTGCTCAAGATTATTTGGAAGTGCAATGCAGAAACTTTTTGTGTGTGTACAGGAAGTTGGAAGGAAAAAGAAGTTTTGTAGATGTTGCTTGTTTGGCTTTTTTGTGGTTTGTTTTGGGTTTTATTTTGTTTTTCCTTTAGAGTTCTCAGCTGTGTGATAAAAAAAAAATGGGGAAAGATAGTATGAAAAAATTTAGAATTAATTTTTAGGGTGGAAGTATTATGAATTATGTTTAGTGCAGTTTCTATGCAGCTTGACAAATCAGTCTTTGTAAGTAAGTTCTGTGGAAGTAGTTTACCAAATTGCACCACACTCTCCATGCGGTTTTTATATATGCTGAGAGGAAATTCCTGTTGCTAGGCCCAACAGATCAGAAGAATGGCACTGGGTTTGCATTGCAATCTCTTAATCTGTGTTTTATTTGTCTGCTGGGGAATTGCTTTTAAAATGTACTGTTATTGTAAATTTTTAATTGATTCCAGTTACAATCTGTAGTTAGGGAGTTGCCTTTCTGTATCTTCACATTTGATCAGTATATGTCTTAATCCCATTCTTCTTTCTTCTCAAACAAGAATAATCTTGGGATTATTCTCCTTCCCCTCCATCCTGTCCTGTAGATGATTGTCTTGAGCCCTGTAACTGCAGCAAAGCAAATCCAGCAAACTGGAGGTAGTTTGCTTCGTGACAAGTGATGGTTTGATCATTCAGCTGTTGGCCACAGGTTTGATTTCAGCACTTACTTGCTGAAATTTCTTGTATTTTGCATTAGGCATGCATTATTTGCATTTTTTACATTAAAAACTAGAAATAATTCAAGAATGGGACCTCCACATCTCTCAGCTAAAAATGAATATAAATCATGTCCACTGTAGCTGGTCCTCTGGTTCTTTGATTGTTGTGCTATTAGCTGAAATAGAAGCAACAGCAAGTTTCCTAAAGAAACGTCACCAGGAAGGGACATAAAAATCCTTTATGTCCCTGAAAGGCAGACACAGATTTTGTGTTTCTTTATACTCAATAAAGACAGGAGATTTTGGAGATTAGTTGCTTTTTCCAGTATACCTTTAGAGGCAAAGTAGGCACTTTCTGGATGTTTGCATGATTTGGTTATAATAAAATTAGTATCTTAAAAGTGCTCTTTGGTACTGCTGAATAACATTGCAAGCAAGAAGGTTGGAGGAATAAACTTTGTGAACTAGGGAAGAGAGATTTCATTTCCTTCCTAGAGACACAAAATATTTATGACAAACTTCTTATTTAATTGCTGTTGTGTTTAGTTTCATGTTTTGTTTCCTTCTGCCTTTTGTTTTCCTGCTCAAGGACAAAATAAGAAACAATAATATGTTTTTATTTATAAGTACCCATGCTTGGAGGCCTCTGGGAGCCATGACAGAAAATAACTAAAACCATATTTTTTCACAAATAGGGAATTGTGCCCAGATAAAATTGGGATTTGGAACAAAAAGAGGCCTGTCCTTCTGCCCCAACATACATTATACAGTCTAGTAATAAACAACATTTATCCTGTCTTGCTTGGTATGCCTGTGCATGCTCTGAACAGACACTCTGTGGTATGTACCTGGAAAGAGGAAAGCAAATGAAGAACATAGGAGAGTTGGGAGGAACTTTACTTTAGGAGGTTTAATGTGGAGTAGAGGAGAGAGTGAGAATGATGGAAATATTACCTCTTCAGTTGCCTGGGTTTTACTTGTTTTTGTGTAGAAGCCTTTTCATATGTCAGTGGAGAGACCAGTGTTCAGAGCAGCTTCCTCACGTTCCCCTTGTGGTTTTTCAGCAAGGCTTAGTGTTAGGGCTTTGTGGTGTTCTCTTTGTGGTTGTTCTCTTTTCTCTTTTTCACACACATGCCCCTGCTTCTTTTTTGCCCTGTTTGAATTCACATTGGCTGTCTGCATTGGGCTGGAAAAGAAGTTGTCTCTTAGTGCAGTTTGGGTTTATTGTGGATTTCCAACTCTTGCTTCAGTCTTTGGTGAAACTTAGAGATAGTTTGTGGTTGGTAATGAATGTATTCAAAGACAGGGACAGAGAAGTCATGAGGTGGCATTTGATAGCTAGAATGTAGAAAAGTAATCAGGTTTTGTTTTATTACTTTTTGCCCTATAAGACGGGAACATTTTAGGTTTAGTCAGCGTAATTCTTAAATCTATTCTTCCTGCTAATCAAATATAAGAATATAATCTTTGGGACAGCAGATTTCCTTCCCTGTTCTTCCCCCCCCAACAGATGAGTGTTTTGAGCAGCATAACTCCAATAACTCCAGCAAAGTTGGCAAACTGGAGATAGCCTGAGGCAAGTGATGGTTTAATCATTCAGCTGTCAGGCACCAGATTTGGTTCCAGCACTTACTTTCCTGTCTTATTATACATAATGGTATTTTTGATTACAGCAGGACATGCACCATGCTGTAGAACCTTCATGGGGATAGAAGAATTCATGAGTTTGTTTATTCATTATTTTTTAGTGATTTCAGCATCCAGGGTAAGGGATTATTTGATATTGTAAGTCAGTCTCCTCTGTGATATGAGGTGTATGCTTGGATAGCTCTGGACTGGTGTTTCACAACTCTTACTTCAGCTGGTGTTTCAGCTGACAAGCAAAAGCTGGTGAAATGTGTTTTATAACACCTTATGTCTTAATTTCAGTAGGAGTTCTGTAAGGAAACTCAATTATGGGCTGGTTTCAGTGTTGCTGTAGCCTAGGTATTTACACTTCACAGATGTATTTTCAGTCAGGCATGTTTACTGTGCCCCCAGTAAGATGGTTTGCTTGGTGCCATATATAGGTGTATATGTATAGAGGTGATAGATGTTTACAGGTCTGTATTGGTTCTCAAGCCATTTTCTGTGACTGGTAATAAAGTTGTTCATTTATGTCACTAGTAGTAGTATATTTTTAAAATGGGGATTTTTCTTCTTAAATAATGTTGTTGTCAATTCTGCTTTTCAGAACTGTTGCAGAATGCTAGTTTAATGTGCATTTTCTTTTGTTTTGCTAAAACCAGAAATAAAGTGTGATTCGGCTGGAATGGATTGATAGAAAGCGTTTGAACAATGCTCTCAGGCACATGGTGTGATTCTTGGGGTGTCCTATTCAGGGCCAGGAGTTGGAGTCCATGATCCTGATGAGTCTTGTCCAACTCAGAATATTCCATTATTATAATAGTAGTATAATTGAATATTTTTTCTTTTTTCCAGGGAGTGAGGGTAAAAAAACCCCAAAACTATTAAACCAGTTTTACAAGTCTTATTCTCAAGAAGCAAAGAAATGTTTTGTGCTAGAAACTTTTCCTCATTAAAAATTGTAACTTGGGTTCATAGTCCTTCAAAAAGTCTCTGAAAGCTTCAACTAGTTGAAAATTATGTGGATTTTCCATTTAGATGCCAGTTACAACTACTTCTGGTAAGTAGGTGTGTCATACAACCGACAAAAGACTGGATGAAGCCCAATTCTGAATGAAGGCTTGGGTGTATAAGTCACTGGGATACAAAACCTGTGAACTCAGTAACTACTTTGTTATACAGCTCTCAGAAGTGAAGCATTTCTTGGATCTGTCCTGTGGTAGAATCCCAGCTGCTCTCACCTAAGTAACTGGTGCAGTTTCTACTGCTGCTTCCTTGTGCTTCCCAGTAGCCTGACCTCTAATTATTTGAGGTGGTTGCTTAACAGGTGAGTGTTAGCGGCTGAACTTTCCCACTCATAAAATACAGTCACAATTCCTGCTTAAAATATGGCTGAAGGAGGTGGCTGTGCAGCTTTTCATGTGGTAGTTCACTGTTAGATGCATTTGCCTGGAGACTTGAGGTCAAATTGACATTCTAGGCTTCTGCCTCCCATTTCCCAGAATTACTGCCATTGTGTTGCAGGGCACCTTGTGAGGGGAGAGAGTAGTGGTAGGAATGTATGGAATACTAAACTTGAGTAGAGTATGATGTTGTATAAGCTCTGGTTGCCTTTGCAGCAGGGGTGAGAGCACATAGGTATGTACAG